ATTGGGGCATAAGGGATGCCCAAATGATGAAGAGTCGCCTGAGAATATGTCAGAGTTTGTGAAAGTGTTATCGGAAAGGATGGACGATATCCACCATCAAGTGCATTCAAATTTGAAAACGTCTGCTGATTTGATGAAGTTAACTTATTATAAGAGATCTACTGAAGTCAGCTTTGTACCAGGAGACAAGGTATGGTTGTATAATCCCAAGAAGACCAAAGGGAAATCTCCTAAGTTGTCTTCTCCATGGGAAGGCCCATATGACATAGTGGATCGTCTCTCAGATGTGACATTTCGGATAAAATGTGGTCAGCGAGGTAAGCCAAAAGTGGTGCATGCCAACAGGCTTTGGCGTTATCACGGTCCAGGACATTTCAGTTGGGATGAAGTGAACATCAGAACAAATGACGCTGCTGAAGACGTGCCACCTGAAGAAGTCACCATCGAAGAAGAAACTCTACTCAGTTTTGAGAAGGGAAACGGTTAAGCTCTTGATGAAGTTACTACCACTGATGTACCTGTTACCGATAATAGGACATTTCCTGATGAAGCAGATGAACCCCACATGAAGCAGAAGCCAACGCGCGATTGTTGAAAATAAGTGTATCGTAAAGTTGTATTCAGAAAGAATAAACCAGTTTTATTTAGTAAAGAACTTGTGTCGCTAAAGTTTCGTCGGAACGAAGTTACGGAAAGTTAATTAACAAACGGCGACATAACAGTATCGATGCCATTTCTTGACATATTACTGTAGTATTGCAGTCACTTCGTTAACACACTCTACTAATGAAACTGTTTTGCCACAGCACTGTGTTAACCCTGATATTTTATAACATGACAGAATATGTAAAGCGATGTAATTATTGGTTATATTTTCTTTTCTTTTTTTTGAAACTACAAAAATTGTCTGGAAAGGACCTGTTCCTCAACACGCCTGTTTATTTTTCTCCTATGGATATATGTGGTCGCTTTATAACAACAAATACAAATGGCCATTCACATATGAGTTGTACGGAAGTTCCGTACTCTTGTTTTTAGGGTTCGTTGAAGGTCGAATTACACCATTCTAGTTTTATCCCATTGCCAGTAATAGCAGTTTTTTCTTTTTCATATTTTCGAACTAAATTAGAAGTTATGATTGGACGAACCGTCTATTCGACAACGTCACGCTTACGTCATCGTAAAGGCATTGGTATATACCACGTGCTGAGGCGTCGGTAAGGTAAATCCATGCGTGTAGATCATTCATCGGCAGTAATTACGTTTTGTTGTAACGAGGAACAATAGAACTATATTTTCATCAGGCAGCTGTATTTTTCAAAGTTTTCACAAGTGTATTTGTTATTAAGAACAATCAACAGCTAGTTACTAGCTTTTCATAGTAGTTATTTAACCTCAAAGAATGCGCTCTTTCTATCTACTTTTGTTTATTCCGACGATTCTGGGCACAACTAACAGCCCAGCCTATGAACTGGAGAAGGTTGTTCCGCTGCTAACCGGCCAGACAAATTCCACAGACACCCCGCTTACGAACAGCATAAGTGCTGTACTAGAGACATTACTTACTCGTATTCGGTGTGTCCAAGAAGGCCTAACTCCTTTGGCATGTGTCAAGGTATGAGAACTATTTTCCGGTCGTCTTCATAATGTTGTGTTGAGGTTAAATTATTGTTACTAGCTTTACTGGTAAAACAGATCATCAGATGATACTGTCAAACATACTATTTCAATCCATAAAATCGAATGTAATGGCATTAAATGCTAATGTTGAGGAGTTGATTTTCTTATCATACAACTTAAAATTTCTTGTATTTCTTTAGATTCTTTAACGTCCTCTTGCACACCTTGACCCTAAGTTGTTGATTTATTAATTTATTGAACCTTGGTCATTCTCGTTCTTCATAAGCTGATTAACTCACCATGGCAGCGAGCTCACGAGATCTTAGCCTTTGGTCACCAAATACTCCCAACAAAGTTTTAGTTAGATTTATAGAACTATGTTTAATATTTTATCGTAAAGTTGTGAACATGAAACTGATGTTTTTTTCTGTACTTTTTTTTTTCTATGTTATTATATTTTAAACAATCGCTCATACATATGAGTAGCTATAATTATTTCAGGAATTTATCTTGCCCTCTGGTGATGAAAAGAATTAGCAAGAATTCCGTCTAAAGAAGTAACTTTGTATTATTTCTAAAATTTCCAGTATTAACTTCCTTACGAAACTGGCAAAGCCCCTGAGGCAGTGTGCAGAGTACACGTAATCCACCTTTTCTCAGATCTAGAGCGCTTGTAAACTTGCTGAGGTTGAGCTGTTAGGTAACTGTAGCGTTACACATGTAAGGTGCCAGTTAAAGAACTAGATATTTGATTTGTGTTGAAACGATTAGGAGCACTTAAAAATGAAAGTTATGAAACGTCATCACTTTTCAGTAGTAATTTTCGTTCAAACTCGACAAAATACTTTATTAGAATTAGACAAAAAAACAAACAAAAACAAACTATTCTTGTATATCTTAGTGATACCTTTTAATCTTCACTGATTAATATAGTATGACTTAAAAGAAAAAAAGCAACAACTAAAACATTTCCTGAAAATACGAACGTGAGAATCAACAACATTCGCAACTTCTTGCTCGAAATTACCTTAACTAGGTTTTATAAATCAGCACAAACTCGCAGCCTTTATATACATATAACATATCTAGAAAATTTCAGTCAATTAATTATTCACGTGTTGTCTTAACCTTTATTTTACCGGCTATTGATTACATTGTCAAATTTTGATTGTTCTTACACTTAAGTGTACAATTATCATAATTAAAGCACAGCTATAATCTCAGACCTGTGGCACTTTCGGTTTCAGAGTTACAACATGTTCCATTTAAGGAACATTGGAAGTCTAGTGTTAAGATACTGAAAATAAAACCTCATAACTTTCTAAATCAAAATTTATTGAATGATACATATGTTCAACTTATGTTTCTCTACGATGCTTTTCATTCTACTAAAGTTTACAATATATACAAGAAACACTCTAAACCGTGTGTTCTGTATCGGCACTGAACTTAGGGCTAGTGGTGGATCTCGAAACATTGCTTGTCCCTTTCAGCATGAAACCAAATATTACACTTTTTGCACATATTTTTTGGTATGGATAAGAACCATCATTACCAAAAAAATAAAAAAAAGGCTTCAATTGTTACATCAAAACCAAATTGGTTTTCCTCTAACGAGCATTTTGGCACTATGGCAGTCAAAGTATGCTACCATAGTCTTATCCACACTGAGCAACTTATGGAACACACCACATTGTACAAAACTGTCATTTAACATATGGAGAAATCCTGCTCATCTTCTCTCCTTGAACAAGATTCTGGTTATCAGTAAAATGCATGCATTTCTTGATTTCAAGAAATCTGTTTTTACTCATTGTGTTTTACACAATCGGCACGCCCAAATCAGACTGAGTTGACCGATAATGATGATCTTCAGGCACTCTGTGGTAGCCTGATAGCAGTAGAACACCTAGAAAGTTGCGAACATCTCTTTGTGAAACATGAAAGTTCAGGTTGTTTTTTGTCAGGGTTAGCATACAAATTTGTTTGTTCAGTGATAAGGTCCAACATTTCCATAAAAAAGATCCAAATTCATGACCTATAAATCAGATTTTTGAAATTGTTGTTGTTTTCTCCTTTATTTATGATCATAAACAGTTCACAAAAATTATACCCGTTAACATTCGTAGGTTTATTACACGAATGGTCGGCTGATGGGTGAGCGCCACTTTTATACCTTTCGGTATACCAGTGGCGCCACCCTTTCAATGTTCCATTTGTGGAACATTGAAATTTTCCTCAAATTTTCTACGACTAAATATTGAAAAACAAAACCATAAATGTTGCAGGAGCATACTAGCATATGTTAGCCAAATTGTAGTGTTCAGTAAAATTAATTTGAGCTCTTATCATTTCTCCATGGCACATATTGCGTGTGGGTGAAAACTGTTTTTTTGTACTTTTTGTGTATTTATCAAGCTTTTAATACTTGAATAATTTTGTTCATTTCTCTCGTATAGATGAGGACACGTGTTATCAATACATAGAAAGCACAAGTAGTGCTGGAATTAAATTTGCAGCTCATTTTCTAGGCTTTTTAAATAGTGTTCCATATAAGGAACATTGGCAGGAAAAAGGTTAATCTTATGAATTATAGGAAAGCAGAACTCTTAAATGAAGCACCTCAGTTACTTCGCAAAGCTTTCAGAACAATGAACATTTGTTTTCTAGCTGAATAATGAGAAGCTGAAATTTTTCCAAAGCATTTACATCCTTATTTCTTCTTAATATTCTATGCCTGGATTAATTTATAGAATAGCTTCAATTTACAGATCGGTGATTAAAACCTAAATGTCATCAGATGAGGGTGCATCACTAGTTACTCCTTAATTAATATATTTGTTTAAAAGTCTTGGTGCCTATGTGATAGAGAGTTGGTACCCAAGTTAAGCTCTTCATTAGGTAGTCAATAACTAAAAACACAATACTGGAAACTTTATAAATTGTACTACATCATTTTTTAATACAAACATTTTGTGCTGGATTAATCCCAGTATTAAAAGTAACAACTACGTCGCCTGACAACATGGATACACTTCTCTGGTATGATTTTTCCAAATAACCTCTTTGTTATGTCAGTAGAAGTTTTTTATTTAATTTTTACTTTTCGTCCGGGAGTATTCCATTTCAGATGTCAGGTCAAATGACCATTCTTCTGGTATATAACTGACCCAGTTAAGAAAAGCGTTCTTGTCTCCTTCGTGGTTGACCTATGTGAGACGTGTTCGTTACAAATTGTGATTCGTTTCAAATCATTAGCGAGATACTGCCTGGGTTGGTTTCACTGATACTGGTCGCAGGCTATGATAATACATTAAAATGTTGTTGCTAAATTACTCTGTCAATAGGTTTTAATACTTTTGCTAGAAATAAACTAATTGCGTAGGCGAGGAAATAAAATGCAAACTAGAATATAAAGTAATGGTGATGGGCTGTTGCCCAAAACGTTGTTTTCGTGTTTTATTAATAAAATTGTTTTAACTTGGCGAGTTTTTCATCACTACTATATATATTCTATTTTGCATTTTAATACATTTGCTTCATCCTTGTGCATTTTTTAGGTTTAACATTGTTCACTAGAAGGCTTTTTGGCTACAATATTTTGGTCCTGCTACAAGACTGTGCGACTCTTCACTTTAAAATTTTACCAGAAGGCTGTATGATTAAGTTACATTACTTATGCTACAAGTCCGTGTAACTTTAGGTTTCAACGTTGTTAGTAGAAAGATGTATGATTAAGTTACATTACTTATGCTACAAGTCCGTGTAAATTTAGGTTTCAACGCTGTTAATAGAAAGATGTATGATTAAATTACATTCCTTCTGCTACAAGTCCGTGTAACTTTAGGTTTCAACGTTGTGACTAGAAAGATGTATGATTAAGTTACATTACTTCTGCTACAAGTCCGTGTAACTTTAGGTTTCAACGCTGTTAGTAGAAAGATGTATGATTAAGTAACATTACTTATGCTACAAGTCCGTGTAACTTTAGGTTTCAACACTGTTAATAGAAAGATGTATGATTAAGTTACATTACTTCTGCTACAAGTCTGTGTAACTTTAGGTTTCAACGTTGTGACTAGAAAGATGTATGATTAAGTTACATTACTTTTGCTACAAATCCGTGTAACTTTAGGTTTCAACGTTGTTACTAGAAAGATGTATGGTTAAGTTATAATAATTCTGCAACAAGCCCGTGTAACTTTAGTTTTCAACGTTGTTAGTAGAAAGATGTATGATTAAGTTACATTACTTCTGCTACAAGTCCGTGTAACTTTAGGTTTCAACATTGTTTATTGGAAAGCTGTATGGCTAAATACTGATGTACTTCTGCAGGGTGCCGGAAAGTGTTCTGTTTCAAGAGTAAAGAGTAACAAATATGATTATTTTTTCCTTTTGAAGTTCATATGTCATGCTGTGTTGTAGCCTACAAAGTGAATAATTATTCTCGTGATTCATGGCATACGCACGTTTTACTGACATTACGACAGGACAAATGGCAACATTAAGCGTCCCTTATGTGATTTTTAGTGTCCTACTGACTGACTGATAGACAACATACTACTGTAAAGTGGTGCAAATAGTTAAAACAGCTGACAATTCCAGGCGGCCTTCGGACGCCTATCGGGGAAATTAAATCCGTTTCTTGTTTCTAGAGAACCAGGTGGTATAGTTTTAGTATTATTGATTGCTAAAAATTGCGTGGTTAAGTTTCATTATTCTGTTACCCAATTTGACACAAATAGGGTTAACTAAATTTGCTGTTTTCTAGCATTTAAATTGGTAAAAGAGGAACTTTTTCTTTACCCTTTGACAACTAAAAAATCTAGATAGGAATGAAAGTATTGGTGGGAATTAACGTTGAAACAACACTGTCCTCTGTGTAGATTTCCATAAGAATGATACATTATACAACAGGAATAGCAAATAATATAATTCCAAATAAATGTCGCTTCCAACAGGCTGTGCTTAGTCTTGTATCGCACAGTTCTCAGT